AGAGGCTATGGAGTAACTGGAAATGATATCCTCTCCCATAGGGAATGGACTAACACATCTAAACTATTAATGTTTTGATCGAGTTGCTAAAATTTTCTGGGCATCCTACATTGCTTTTGCCTCTTTGAATTCCAAAGGTTGCTTCATTTAATATTTTTTGTTTGCAATTAAAATTCCTGCAAATTCATCTATATAAACCCTATGAAGGCATCAAGCTCATCTGAAGCAAATATTTTCACCGGTGTTCCATTAAATCAAACACTCCAATGTATTTTTATTAGTTGATTCTCTAGAAGACCCTTTTTATCTATGCAATTTTTTTGTCTTGTGTTTGTTGTGTCAGGATTACAAATATCATTCGTACGATGCATTCTTGAAACAAATGAAAAGTAATGTAACAGAAAATGTTGGATAATAGTACTTCGTATGCAACTACTCAGAGATTGCGCCAGTATTTCAACGTCTACAAGGGGCGGGGCCAGGACACTGGGTCGGACAGGACCGGTACAAAGAATATTTTTGGAAAAAAATTTACAGGGAATTTTTTACACTAAAAATATAGAAATTTTTAAAATTTGGGCTGGGCCAGGGCCAGGGGTGGCCACCCCCTAGCTCCGCCCCTGACGTCTGTGGAAGACAACTACAAAAAAGAAAAACTGCTTATACAGAGGTCATGCTAAACTTATTTTTCTTTTATTCACATTTAGTACTTCTAAAAGTTATTTATTTGGGTTAGTATATATTTATTCAAATGTAGAATATGAATCCTAACTAAGTTTTACCTTCTTTACTTTTCAGGATTGAAATCCCTATTTCAAGTGCAATACATCTAAGAAACAAACCTGGGTTTTATTTAAATATGTTTAAAGAAAGTAACCTGGATTTTCCTCTAGTTTTTCACATTAATTGACATTGAAGAAAAGAAACTCACGAGTACTATTTCAAAACACACTATTGCAGACCTACAGGGCTACAGAGCGTATGATCTCCTGTATTGCCTGTATATATTATCAAATTATATAGAGCTCTGTTCAAATATACTTTTGATCTTTAATAGTTATCTAAAGGTTAACATATAGGCTCAACTTCAGTTTCATCATATTTTGCATGTCTGAGACTTGAATTTTTTAATTCTGCCATTATGAGACATGAGAAAGCAACAAACTTGGATTTCAATAAATCAGTCATAAAGAAACAAACATGGGGTTTTCTTTGTTTTTTGGAATGGCATTAAAGAAAGCAACCTGGTTTTTCATTGTTTTTTGAATCACAATGCAAAAATAAACTTGCCATTTGGATGAAAAAAATCTTATGCTTCTTAATCCTACCTTAATCATGAGCCTTGACATAAAAATTACTCTCCATTTGGAGTAATAATTTAGTTTGAAAAAATTGTAAATAGGTGAGTACATAGAGACAACTTTATTCACTTACCCATTATATCTAGTGGTGGACTCGGGCCGGGTGCCCGACTCGGAACCGGAACCGGCCCGGTACTGTTGGGCCCGGCCAAGGACCGGTCCGGGTATGCCCGGTCCGGGGGGTTTTCCGGTGCAAGCTCAGGTCATGTAAATAAGGAACCGGACGGGCTGGGCCCGGTTCGGGCCATATATTTTTTTTATTTTTCAATTTTTTTTGAAAACCCGGGTTGGGCTGGGTGTTCTGGGCCATTTGGGGTGGTTTGGGGGGTGGGGTGGGGGGTTAATTAGGAAAAGGGAAAAAAAATATAGAAATTGGCCCGAGGCCCGGCCCGACCCGGAACCGGCGGCAACCCGGGTCGGTCCCAGGCCTTCCCCCAAACACAAAAGGCCCGGGCCCAAACCGGCCCGGCTCCACCCCTAATTATATCTGCTAAATAGTACTCCCTCTGTTCCCAAAAATACTTCCCACTTTCCTTCTTGGGCTGTTCTAAAAATACTTTCCACTTTTCCTTTTTGGACAAATTGTGTGGCGCACATTCATTTTACTTTTTTTTCATACACAACTATCCCCATACATTTCCCTTTTACTCTACTTTCTTAATAAGTGTGTCAATTCAAATCAGGAAGTATTTTTAGGAACGGAGGTGGTATAAAGATATAAAATAATAATCATTCTGAAACTCTGTATTTAATATAATCCTAGAAGAATATCTTAACCAAATTGGCTTGAGTTCGAGCTAGAAGAATATCTTAACCAAATATTTAATCTTATTGAGAACATAAAACATTTGTGAAAGAGGGGTATCATTCCCCCCCATGTATTTGGTTCTCTTATTGCATTTTCACATCAAATGATTCTTTTTCTATGTATTGTGCTTCATTTTCATTTTCATTCTCATTCGAAGGTGGGAAATCTGAGTGAATACATACATGAATACATGATAGCTAATTTCTTGAATTTATAGAAATTGAAAGCCTAAAGATTCAGATTGGTCGTGGTTGCTTCACCTATTATTAGAATGGGAGACAAGATTTTTCTTTCATAATTTTTTTTTGGAACTTTCATAGGAGCTTTTTTACAAATTACAAATCAACTGAAAATTTATGATTGATTACTTCATTCCTCCAGTATTAGGCACTAGCCTAACCCGCATGCATCTAAATTGACTCATTCATAAATGTCACAGCTATTCATAGGGATATAAGTTGATCAACACCAACACGAATGTTATATGAATCTTAAGATCGCAGGGCTTCTTTCCATCTTTCAAAAAAGGCCAAGGATTAGGTGGGCTAAATGGATTAGACTAAAATCAGCCTATCTAAAACTTAATATGCAAACGATCTTTATTACTCCGTATTATTAAGGCTGCTATAGATTCATATTGTTTAGAAATTGGCATATACCAATTCATGGTGAATATCTGCTATCCTATTGCAGTGGATTCTATGTTGTCAGATTCAGGAATTACAGCTGTAATATAGACTTTGAATTGGTTTGCTAATCAAGGTTATCAACATAACATTATGAGAGAACAGGCTCAACACCAGATCTTTGCGTTTTGGAAGAAGGGAACCAAGCTGCTATGTCATACTCTTATCATATTAAACACTACATATTTTAATGTCTTTAAAGGATTACTATGATACAAAGGCTGTCATTCCAAATTTAGAGCTTAAAATTTGTTGGGGGAGGGGGGGGGGGTTATGCCTTTTTGTTTTTTTCTTCTTTCAATATTATGATGCATGTGGTAAGGTTGACTGGATTTTATTTATATCGCCTTTTGTTATTTTTTCATGTGGGTGAAACATGCTGAATTTAATAATAATCAAGATAAATAAGATTGAAGTTATTTTTCTGGTTGAATTGATTGAGGTTACTGTTGATGATCATTTTTGTTATTTTACATATAATCATTTCTTTATTTCATTAATAAAATATATTTAGAATATAACTTTTCCATAATTTGATGAATTTAGTCAATTCGGCACTTCAGCCAGAACTTTATCCATTCCACCGAATCAGCATTTTTGGTGTCACTAAACAATCTCGATCTTAATATTCGGAAGTCGTATTACTGTGATTTCTATAGCACAAAAATCATAAAAATTGACGAGATAAATTGAATAAAAACCCAACATATGAAAAATAAAGGATATTCATAGTGCACCGTATAATATAAATGTTTAAAGAGCGCAGTCAAATTTCTATTGACCGTCGGGGTAATACCTATATGTTTATACCGTAGTAGATGATAGGGAAATCACAAATAAAATTGTCAATAGAAAGCTAAAATTCATCATAACAAATTTCAGGGACAATCTTAAAAATACTACGTAACTATTTATCACTTTAATATTTCTACTGCTAGACAATTAACTAAATCTAGTTAGGTATTTATCAAGTTAGTGAAGTTATGAATACAAACCAAGCAAATGAGCAATATTAAGTACAGAGTACTTGGTATTCATATTTCATTAATCACAAATCTGAGTGTCAAAAACTCATACGAGTAATTTTTACAGTATTGGTTTTATTTAAGATAAATTCTACGATACCCATAAGGTACATACATTTGTCCACATGGACCAATCAGAATGTTGCAGTTGAATTATTTAAATCTAAATTAAAAATGATATACCTATTTGGACCAATAAAATGAATTGTAGGTACCGTACCCCATTTTTTTAAACTCAAATAGTCAGTTGCCAAAAAAAAACTCAAAGAGTCAAGTTGGTTCCGGAACCCATTACTCCTTAATACCATAAGTCAGCTAAACTTCTCTACAGATAATAAGCAATCAAAACGGCAAAAGTGCACCTCTCCAAGCAGTTGCGGCGCCGTGCGGAAAGGCTTGTACAAAATTTGGAAAGACGTTTCGGTGCGCGAGAAGATCAGAGCTTTAATGCTATTCCCTAACTTTTTTGAGGCCCTCTTGGAGCGTGAGGCCCTAGGCAAATGCCTGGGTCAACTGCCCATATAGCCGGCTCGGTTTACAAACTAGTATATTACTCATGCGATGCACAAGATTATTCTACTACTTAAATGTATTTATATTTATATGAATATTAAAAATTAAAGTAATTCTAATTGACCATCCTTACACAAAAAAGGACATTTTTAATGATTTTAAAATTAATTTTATATTGCACGAATATACATACACATGCATATATTGTGTGTGTATTCAAATACTATCGTAACTTTTAGTGTTTACCTCACGCTCATCTCTCATAATATTTCAAGAGTTATAGATCTATGGTTAGGTGGCTTTCGTTATTTTAGTTTTGATCATTGTAAGGATGTTATAGATGTTTTTTTAACAAACCTACCAACAATCCTAGCCAAATCCGATATAACCCTTTTATCTTTTCTGCCAAATAGATCATTATTCTACAATTTTTTAATCTTAGCCCTGTAGAGTTATCTAACCATAGACACCATAGACGCTTGAGTGGGTCTATGGTTATAAGATGGTGGGTATAAGATGAGTATAAGAGTGGGTACATCAAACATTATTGATTAGTATTAGTACATGCACATTGTCATTAATTCTCTTCATTACAAAGTTAGGTACCATTACACTGGTCAACTTAGTGATCAGTATTCCTAAATAGGTTAAACGATTTTGTATACATATATTTCATATTTTCCTTTCTAAGAACCAAGATAATCGTCTTCGTCTCTCCCACAGCCCAAATTTCCCTCTTCTTCCTTCAAATCAAAATCTCAACGATTTGAATTAGCAGTTTACAAAGATACCCTATTAACCGTTACGGATTCCGCCGTGATTTTGCCAATTTATGTCACTAGCGGTTAGCGAACACAGAGAAAACCACCGTGTTCGACTTGACCGCCATAATCACGCTCCACGAAATTGTTACGTCATTTCCCGACCTATTGTTTCTCTAGCGCACTTTCGACTTCTGTGACTGTGGCGTCATCCTCCGGCCGTAGTTTTCTGCAGTTCACTTCCACCTTCTGAACTCCGGCGATCAGGACTGTTGTTTCTGGTTTGTTCTGCTTTGAACATTGCGTTCTTCAGCAATAAGAACTATTAACCTAACAGGCTTCCCACATAAAACTAAAGTGTAGTGATTTTAGGTATTTCATTTCATTTCTTTATGAATGTTTACAGATCCTTAAAGGATGTTTACGCCATTGATTATAAAAGATCGAGGAAAATATTACACATCATTTGACTAGAGAAGTAGAGCCGCGTTGTGTTTTTGACTGCCAATATGCAGTATGAAGTATTTCTACTAGTTATAGAGTAAATTATTTTATGTTTCTGTCTCGTTTAGCTTTACTTTGACATTCTATGTTATTATGCGCATGTAGAGGTAGTTGCTCCTTACGTGAATAACCCCCAGAACAGTCAGCCTTCGCATATGGAAACCACTTGTGGATCTCTGATGTCCGATCTGAAGGTTTACTTGAAGCTTTAATTGCTATTCCATCATTTTTTTTCATGAATTAGGAAATATAACTTTTGTATGTCCATTTGTTATTATTTATATGTAGTATCAAATTATCAATAATTAGCAGTTCTCATTGTGTGTTCTTTTCCTAAAATTTACGTTCAAATTGTTTTAATGGAACCAGAAATTGTGGGATGATATTGGAGAGAATGAGGTTGAAAGGGACAAGATGCTTTATCAACTTGAGCAGGAGTGTTTGAACGCCTATAGAAGAAAAGTTGACCAGGCAAGTCGCAACTGTGCTCAGCTACGGCAAGCAGTTGCCGAATCTGAAGCAGAACTTGCACGAATATGTGCAGCGCTAGGGGAGCAGCCAGTCAATACCAGAGCGGTTAGTGTCAGTATTATGTTGTTGTTGAGTTTTTTTTGTATTATTTAACTTAATCTTGTTTCTGATGGTGTGGGACTTTGACTATGTATGACCATTCCTATCTGGACAGAAATCAAGCAGCTTGAAGATGGAGCTTGAGGCCATTATGCCTCAGCTGCAAGAGATGAAGCAAAGGAAATTGGAAAGGGAGCGTGAGTTCAAAAATATTATCAATCAAATAGACATCATCTTGAAGGAGCTTGGTCAGTCAAGACAGGAATTTCCAAAAATGATTGGTATGGATGAAAGCGATATGTCCTTGCGGAGACTTGAAGAGATGAAGGGTCACTTGCTTTCACTTCAAGCAGCAAAGGTTCCATCTGGCTCTTTTTTTCATTCATAATTTTCCTGAACAGTTCAACCACACTGGCATGCATTGCATTGACTAAGACATACGAAGTATAATATTAGGTCTCTACTGTGCGGACTGCGGAATATCCCCTAATAATTTGAGGTGCATTAATGAATGCGATTATCATTCAAGATGTGATTAAAATGAAAAAGTAATATGTAAGAGGGAAATTTATCACTTAATATAGGTCTTCTGGTCTCTAACTGTATCTACTGAACTTCTTTTAGAATGATCGCTTGGAGCAAGTACTTGACCTCTTGGAATCTCTCAAATCACTATGTGTTGTGCTTGGTATTGATTTTAGAAATACTGCTGTGGAGATCCATCCTACTTTGGATGGCTCATCTGCCTTGAAAAGTGTAAGTACAGAGACAATTGATAGGTTATCTGCTGTTATAAGCAAACTGCGAGAGGTGAAAGTGCAACGGCTGAATATGGTTAGTATACATGTAATTGTGTCTATTTCCATGCCTAGAATCTTTTATGAGCTCTCAAGCTCATACTTTGTTGTTCTCTCAGATTCAAGATTTCGCAACCACAATGGTAGAGCTGTGGAATTTGATGGACACACCAGTGGAGGAACAACAGCCATTTCACAGTGTCACGCGGACTATAGCTGCTTCAGAAAGTGAATTAACTGAGCCAAACGCTCTCTCTTTACAATTTCTCAAGTCTGTAAGTACTTTAAGAGTTGCTCCTACGGCACATTATTTATGTATTGAAACTGCTTCCTAGGCTAGATTTGCCTGTTTATTTTTCCTATTTTACCTTGGATAAACTTGAAGAGTATTCTTTAACAATGCTTTGACATGTTCTTGCAGGCAGAACTTGAGGTGGCAAGGCTGAAAGAAATGAAGTCAAGCAAATTGAAGGAAGTTCTCTTGAAAAAGAGGTCTGCATTGGAGGAATTGTGCAGAAAAGCCCACATAGTTCTTGATGCTGATCATTCAACTCAGTTCTCACTTGAAACTATAGAATCTGGTAAAATATTTTTATTCTTTGATGTATTCCAAGGATATTGCAATAAATGTATTTTTTGATATAATGAAATCATAAAACTGGAGTCTGTTTCAAAAGTTTGGTTTAAGAATTTAAGCTTAGTGGATAAAAGCTTTCGTACCTTTTAAAGATAGATTCTTGTTTTTAGTTTCTGCCTGCTGATATCTCATTTATATCCCATTGTCATTTTTAGGGACAATTGATCCTTCACTCCTACTTGAACAAATAGAGATCCAGATTTCCAAGCTAAAAGAAGAAGCTTTTAGCAGGAGAGAGATACTTGAGAAGGTCGAAAAGTGGTTAGCTGCATGTGAAGAGGAATCATGGTTGGAGGAGTACAACAGGGTTTGGCCATTTAATGTTTTTTGAATTATTAATGATTAATGGTATACATATTCTACACAAAATGCTTCTGATTCTAACTATGTGTTTTGCTTTAGGATAACAATCGGTACAATAGTGGAAGAGGCACACATCTCGTTCTGAAGCGGGCTGAGAAAGCCCGAGCGCTTGTCAACAAAATTCCTGGTGCAAAAACTATCTCCTTGTAGGAAACATATGTTCTTTGGAATTTCATATGAGAGGGAAGCGGATAAGTAATATCTATTGAAGTAAATTATCCTTACCTTTGAGTGGTGGGAAAGAAGCTGAAGATGAACCTGTTTATGTAATTTGTTCTTATTCAAAATAAAAATTAATCTATTCTTATAACACAATGCAATCTATCCTTGCATTAAAATGGTTGCATAGAAAGTGAAAATGAAAATTTATATATAAAGTCACTATTTCACAGTTTCACTAAACATATACTCCATAGTAATTCACTAGTCTCTAGTGAAAGACGAACAGTGTATCAGTGTATGTATTTAGTATTGATCTATTCTAATAACAGGAATGTTGGAAGCATTGGCTTCAAAAGCTAAAAGCTGGGAGAGAGAAAGAGGAAATGCATTCTTGTATGACGGAGTAAGCATTTTTATTAAGAACTTGTTAGAGAGAAGATTATGAATTCATGGAAGTCTTTTTTGCTTTGTCATACTTCATATCTTTTCACGCATTGAGATTATTTTTACTTCTACATTAATAACACACTGCTTATTTTCTATCCAGGTTAGCCTTCTGTCTATGCTGGAACAATATGGTCTTGTAAAGGAAGAGAAAGAGTTAGAACGTCAAAGGCAGAGGGTATGCGTTTTATTTTGGATTGTACTGATTTGTTGTGATAGAGTACGTGCTGTGAAGATTTCACCAAGGCTATGTTTGAATCCCGGAAGATTTCACAAGATTAGGGAAATATCATAAGATGCTAAAAAACGTTAGAGTATTTCCATGTGTTTGGTTTTACCTTCTAAAAACACATAAAATGAAATGTAACAAATGTTTTCAATTTTATTACTTGAGTTCAGATTTCCTAGTTCCTAGTATTTACGGAACATAACTAAACAAAGTATTTCTTCTTATTTTTCAAACATTCTTAAGTTTTTCTGAGTAAAACATTTTCCGAGTTTGAAAGAGACCCTTGTGAGAAGTTTGAGGGTGATATTCGCAAATTTTAATCCCAAATGAATCAAGACATGATTGGAATGAGAGTAAAATGAGGCATGTGCGGAGTAGAGAATCCCATTTCAGACTGAAAGAGTGACAGGGAGTCGATGGTAAATAAGAGGGGATAAAGTTAAATTGCTAAAGTATTAGCAACTGTAGTAATTCCAAACGAGGGGAATATCAATTAATTACTCAACTGTAATAATTCCCACGCCTATCCCACCTCCAACCCCCAGATTCCCATTTCTGTTTTTTTTAATGCATTCTAGGATCAGAAGAAACTTCAGGGGCAACTGATTGCAGAGCAGGAAGCACTGTTTGGGGCAAAGCGTAGTCCATCACAGAGTGCGAAAAAGAATTTAGTTGGGGGTGGGAGCAATAATAAGAGATACTCAATGGGAGGGGTGATGCTCCAAACACCATATGCTGAGAGGGCAGCACAGTCTTCTCACACCCTGAAGAAAAAGAACCCTTTGAAGCCGCAAGCTCTACCCAACGTTACACAAAACTATGTCGCCCTCTCCTCTGGTAACTTCATTTATATACCTTTTTGAAGATTCTTCATTTCGTATTGCTTTTCATTCAGTATGCTCATATTTCATTTGAGTGCATTCAGTGCTTACAAGCATTTAAGCGCTTGTTTGGTTGGAGAATTTAGAAAGGGAGGGGAGGGGAGGGAGAGGAGAAGTGACACATTTGGCTGGAGAAAAAGGGAGAACTAGGGGAGATATGGACTCTCCTAAACTTGCTCTAATTAGTCATTTTTAAAATTGCTCTAATTAGTCAATCATGATCACAATACGGACACTATTACTTTATGTTTCTGATCTTAGTAAGGATTAGGGTATATAATATTTCATCAGCTCCATCCCCAAAAATCGAGTATAGCATAATACAATTGTTCACCTTTGAAAAGGTACAACCGTTTAAAATCCTGGAGTGTACTTGGGAAAGTGGATGTTGGTTTTATAGAGAAGGATATTTAAAACAAGGCTATAAGTTTCATTTCATATTTATAATAAACATCAGCCAGAAAAGCAATCATATAGTTACGGTTATGATGAACATATTTGTAACATTTTGTGTGTGGAATAAAAAATTAGTATTGTTCGTTCTATAATAATGTTTCAAATATGATAATAGACTATAACCTTTAGAAACACTTTTCAAACACTTCTAATAAAACATAACATTGAAGAATATCATTTTTTTCTCAAATGTCCTGCCTCTTTCTACCGCCTTTCCATTGCGTTACTTTGAAGTTTAGTATCAAACAAGGTGTTGGTGTCCGGATGCTAAACCTGCATTTCTTTCATTATGGTTGTGATTTTATGAAATCCTACTAAATAAATTTGTTTATTTAAAATGCAGGCAAGAGAGAGAGTTCAATACATGCAAGACAGCAGCAATCTTGCTACAAAACGAATCCACAGAGGAAACCACTTTCACCTATATCTTCACTCTCATTCAACACCAACTCTCCCAATGTAATAGTGGCAAAAACTGGTGAGGAGCTCCAAGAAACGCCACCGGCTTCATTGATGACCACTCCAGTAAAAAATGTTATTGGATGGGGGAACACAACCCCGAAGAAGATGATTCCGATCCCGACCCCGTCCACGCCTGCTTCAGCAGCATCTACTGCCATGCAGACCGCCATCACTCCGGCTGCTGCTACTCCGTTTGCTGATGATGACTGTGTTGACTATTCTTATGAGGAGAAGAGAGCCCGTTTCCTTCTCCCTGAGTTGCAAATTCATTAGCGTTTGCTTTTACCCTTTGTCATCATTGTAGAGTCTGTCATCATTAGCGTTTGCTTTTACCCTTTGTCATCATTGTAGAGTCTGTCTACTTTAACACTTTGAGATTGGTTTTCCACTGCTAAATCTAACTCTCCCGCGCAGGGCCGTCTCTAGAACTTTTTGGGCCCTAGGCATAAACTAAAATATATCTTCATATTAGTGAAAATTGTTGGACATAAGATACTCCCTCCGTCCCATTTATATTGTCTCGTTTTACCTTTTCGGGAAGTCCCACTTAAATTGTCACATACCATATTTGACAAAGTTTGTGTGACTTTAAATCATTCTTAATTTATTCTTACTTTATCAATTAATATCAATCACACAAGCTCACTTTTCTTAATAATCGTGTCACCCTCTTCCGGGACAATATAAATGGGATGGAGGTAATATCATTTAGAGAGTAATTGCTTAAAATTTTACATTAAAAATTAGATTTATAATTTTTGAATTTAATATTTCAAATCTAATTCATTCAATATAAAGTTGAATTAATATAAAACGCTATGTTTTGCTAAAGGATACTTACCATGAAATTGAATTAAAGTAAATTTATTACTCCCTATCACACTCGAGATATCTCTAACTTCAGTATTGAGGGTCTTTCGTTTTCGAAACTGAAAAAAAACTTTTGGAAAACATGGTAAATTCAACAAATGACCTATAATCTTCAATCTTTGTAATAACAGTTAGCCTGATTCCCGATTGATATTGTGAAGATTGTCATTTTTTACTTAGATTTTGGAATTGTGCGAGGCTTAGAACCCATTTGGCATTACCAAAATCGGTTGAATCAGCTGATTCTGCTGAAATGTATGAAAGTCTGGCTGAATTGGGTGATTCTGCTGATACATTAAAAAATTATATTTCAAAAATATGTGTAAAAATAACCAAAACAGTTCTCTACAGTATCTTCAGCCAATACAGCCAGAAAAGTAACTCGGGATTTACTTTTTCCTATTATTTCGCAATTCAGCGCGCCAAATCAAAAATTATGTGTTTGGTGGAAAAGTGGGCTGATAAGCTGAAAAATTTTCTGATAATGGTCACTTAGAGTCCTAACTAATACTATTTCATCCTAACTATTGCGTATTACCGTATTATTCTACTTGAGTAATTTTTAGTATAGTATGTTCAATATTAGAGAATTACGGAGTATTAATCATCATTAAATGAGTTGCACTATTTTATCTAGTCCAAACTTCTAAGTGGACATTTTAATTAGTACGTTGTATTATATTATTTTACGTAGAACTAATAATTGAACAAGTTATTTCTATTATTATACGTAGAACTAAAAGACCAAGTTCTTAATGGTGCCCCATGAATTGATGGTGTCATAGGCATTTGCCTAGGTGCCTCCCATCTATGGACGGCCCTGCTCCCGCGCATAGTGTGATCTATTGGCACTTCTTGATTGGAAAATTAACAGTGGTTGATGATTTGTTAACACTGTTAAGATATTCACGGCAGCTTACGAGTTGTGGATTAATGTTTTTTTCGCCTTTATTAAGATTAAAAATAAAGGTCGATATCGCACCGCCGCACCGCTTCAGAATTCTTCAAATCAGAATTCTTCAAATCAGAATTCTTCAGATCATTTGATCAAGACAGGGGTTATAATTTAAAGTAGAAATCCAATATGATAAATTAACACTCATACTCTATCATGCCAAATTAGATAAGATTAGACTACATCAAAATATTAGACTATATCAAAATATTTAAAACTGGTCAGGCTAAAGGCTGAAGAGGTCCATACAAGAAAGATAAGGATGTTTTCTTTGGGGCTGAAATTTGATGGTCTGTTAAATGTTTGGTTTGTTTGTATTTTATAATTACAAAAGTCTGGTCTGATCTGGTTTGGTCTGGTCTGGGACTGAAAACAGTCTAAAAGAAAACATCCCAAGTAAGGGAGCAGTTGGATGCTATATTTCCGACAAAAAAAATCAATTACACCAGAAACAATGAATAAATGTGAAATTAAAGAAAGGAGATCAATTTATATATTAAAAAATTCAAATAAAATCAATTATCTCATGTCAAATTGAATTTATCCTTAGTTGAAATTTTCTTATGTGATTAGCCAAACAAAAAAGGAGATCAATTCATTATTTTAAAAAAATCAATTAAGATCAATTTTCTCATGTCAATTTTCTCGATGTCAAAGGAAATATTGGAGTAACTACGGCCATAATGCTGGCTGGAGCCCGCCTTGGCTAATGTGCACACCACCAATGAGGGTAGGAATGAGAAAGCTTTATGGCTAGTTGAAGAATAGTGTGTGGGGTGTTCTATACTTCTATACTCGTGGATTGGATCGTTATTCTCGCTTAGACACATTGCAAGAAGAACACTAGATTAATATAAAGAATTTTGAAATTATCCTTGAAGATATTCCTATCATTATAAAGATACCTCAGAGTCAGTATTGGAAAGAAACAAAGAAAAATCTCTCATTTTGTATGGAGTAATCTTTAAAAGTGACTCCTTGGTAACACTAGTTGAGTAAGAAATATCGACACTAGATGGGGAGGTCAAGGCTTTTGCTCAAGGATAATAAAGGTAATGAGATATTACCCAAAATAAGACTAAAAAGGTTTGAAAATTCCAAAATATGACTGTCATGTTTTTATTCCTAAAATAGGACTAATTACTGTCATGTTTTGGTAGTACCAGACTTCAAACATGACAATATTTTCCAAACATGGCAGTAATTACTCCTATTTTGGGAATAAAAAACTTGGCAGTCCTATTTCGGAATTTTCAAACTATTTTAGTCCTATTTCGGGAACTTTCCCTAAAGTAATTAATCCACTTGAAGATCTTGATTTTTTTTAATAAAAATGAAAAACTCCACACTTCGTTTTCCTCAAATAGTGGTAAACGAATAGTTAAAGATTACAAGACCAACTAACACCTAGATCAATTGGGTCCTAAATCTGGACTGAGTCGACTGACCAAGGGTGGTGTGAATGGAGATATTCAATATAGGACTAAGGGAGTGTTTGGATCTGATTCTACTCCTTCAAGGAGCAGAAGCTGGAGTATTTAGGTGAAATTCCAGAAGCACTTCTGGTGCTCTAAGGGTCTGTTTGCAACAGCTTCTGCTTTTAAAAAAGTGCTTTTTAAAATGAAATGGGGAGAAGTGATTAAATAAAAGTTTATAGTGTTTGAGAAAAAAGTGATTTTGAAAAGTAAAAGTGGGTAGTGTTTGGTAAAATAAGTGCTTTTTGTGTAATAGAAAAAGTAAAAACACTTTTGACGCGGAAGCCGAGAAAAATAAAAGTTGTAGTGTTTGGGAAAATAAGTGCTTTTTTAAAGCCAAAAGCTGAGAAGTGCTTTTTTAAAAGCAGTTGCAAACCAACCCTAATTTACTCTCAGAATCAGTTTTTTTAGAAACTGATTCTGATTCTGCTTCTGCTTTAAAAAAGAAACAGAAGCAAAATCATTTCCAAACACCCCTAAGAGGAGATTAAACGATTCGATAGGAGATTAAACGATTCGATACACATACATAGTACTATAGTATTACAAACCCATTTGCTGAGATCTTATATCTTCCCATCTACTAAGAGGAGTATATCATTTCGAATACTAGGTATATTTTAAACTAAATTTAATTCAAAATAAAAACTAAAGTGGGGTATCTAAAAAAGGTCTACATGTCAATTCTTTTGTTTAAATCATTTCAACAAAAAAGTCTTACCCTAAACTTTTTATTAATAACTTAAATGAGTGTGTATCAGTGTATGAGAGCGTACACATTTGCAACCACTCTACTCCCTAGAGGCTTAGAGAGGGATGACAATCAGGGTCGTCTCCGGCGTTTTGGAGGTCCTCTGCGAAAAGTTTTAATTTTTATATCTGAAAAAAAGAGAAAATAAATAAGAAAGAATAAATACAAATTCATCATATATTGTGAATTTCAAATCAAACAATAAAATTTTGAGAGCACATTTGGTAACACTGAAATTGGTTGAATCGGCTGACTTTGCTTAAATTTATAAAGTTCTGGTTAAAGTGGTTGTATTGGCTGATTCTGCTAATTTGTGAAAAAATTATATTTAAAATATATTTTGTTAATATAATAAAGAAAAAGTTATATGAGAAAATAGCTAAAATGGTTATCTGCAGTAACTTCAGCCAATACAGCCAGAAAAGTAATTTCAATCTTACATTTTCTTATTTTTACACAATTCAGCGCGCCAAATCAAAAATTACGTGTTTGGTGAAAAAAAGGTTGATAAACTTGATAAGCCGAAAAACATCGATACCAAACAGGCTATAAATGTAACATACACAAAATGCATTACAAAATGTACTTTTTAATACGCAAATATCTTAAAGTGCAAAATTTATACCACCATCACTAATCAAGACTAGCTAACATTTTTTAAAAAATAGAAGAAATTGTTTTTTCATATCAGTCTATAGAGCTAACAAGTGATTGTAAATAATCTCTTCTCATCTAATTTTTTCTCTTCAGACCTCCCGACTCAAATTTTATACCAACATATTTATAGATAATACGAAATGCACAAACAAATTAATTCAAAACTTAAATTTTCTAAATGCACTCACAAATAAAATAAAATAAAATATCTAATTTAGTGGGATGAATGCAATCACACTAATTACACACTTGTACTCGGTATTTAATATTTAGGCATTTAGAAACTAAGTATTTAACTCAAATACTAAAAAGTATTTAACTCAAATACTAAAAAGTATTTAACTCAAATACTAAAAAGTATTTAACTCAAGTATTTAACTCAAATACTAAAAAGTTAAAATCCTTGACCTCTTGCTTGGACAGTATTTAGACATCTAGACCTCTTGCTTGGACAGCACTGTTCAACCACTCTCATGAACCCAGTTCTTCATCACCGACCCGGCGACCCCCCCCCCCCCCCCTTCCCCAATTCATACCGCCTTCTTCACACAGCCGCTCAAACATCCTAAATCCCCCACAATCCCACTTAAAAAACCCTCCAGCTACAAAGGAACTCACGTCTGTAACCTTCTCGCACGAAGAAATATAATCCCTCGCAAACAAGCTCTCGTTCGCGTTCTTGAGTTCTTTTCTATTGCTGGATATCGATGGTCTAAAGTTTAGGAATCGTATCTACATTTCTGCTTCGGCCTTCCAACTTCCAATTCTAGTAACTAAATTCCAAAATTAAATTTGCATATGGAGTACTTTGTTTTTTGAGGCCCTCCCCTAATGTGAGGCCCTAGGCAAATGCCTAGGCTGACTGGCCCCAAAGCCGGCCCTGATGACAATACGTTGAGTGTAGAAAAAAATGCACATGCCACAAGCCCACAAGTCGTGTAAATTGAGGAAGTGGAAGAGTTAAATTAGAAAACTAAATTCCTCTTCAATTTTATGGGTCAACCTAAGCCTAGATCCACCTCAAATTTTCATTTTGTTAAAATTATTGATGGATATGGGGTATCCAAGCATATAATTATTAGGAGAGATTGAGTTAAAGAAGTAGAGATGAAGATAATAGTGTAATGTTGTATTGAATTTTGTTGTTCTAGGTTTATAAGACTTCCCCTTGTTAGTATAAATAGGGAAATAATGGGTTGGGCCGCTAATATGGATCCGATAGGTCCAATTATGTAAAATGGCTAATCTAGTAGATACAAATGATATATTAACGGTACAATGATACAAATGACATCCGGTAAGCGTGTGTGGGTCACTGCCCAGGCTCAATAGTCGTGAGCCCGGGGGTCCAAATCTATATACTCTATCAATTACTCCGTATTGTGGTAAAAAAATCATGTAAAAAAAGTTTTCAAACATTCTTTATACTGGCCTACCAAACATATTGAATTGGGAATTGCGCATTCCTCCTTAAATTGAAATGTGTTCATTATAGATGCAAAATTGCTACACTTTTTTATAAAAAATCACTACACACATACTTCGGAGTAACCTGTTTTGACAAATATTAATAATAACGAAAGTAAATATTAATCCCTAAAGACTCCTTAAGTCGTGCCTAAATAAAAACAAAGAGTAAAGGGTCAGTTTGGTCCTCGAAGTTGCATAAAAGGGGTCAAA